CCAGTGTTCTTCAAGGATGTAGACACCTCTGAACACAGGTATGTTTCAAAATAAAGATGTAAAACATTGGAGACATTTCTATAATGTAAACCCAAGGAATCTTTGACTATTGAAGCTTGATCTGTGTATAATTACTCATAGTAATGACTGTCCATATACTGAAGTCTGTAATGTGCTCAGGTCACATGCAAGAAGACAATGTCAGAGTTGTGATGGGATAAAGCCAGCACTCCGTGAGTGCAGGACCAGGTATTCACACGTATAAATACATGTAAATTAAAATTGACCATTGATTTTTTTTTTTTTAACAACTTTCTTAAGAACCATGTCTGCATGTGTATAAATCTGTTTGTGCTTGCTAAGTTGTGTGTTTTCTTATGTTGATGCACTGACTGTCAACATGCTGAAGTCCACAACAAACTTATATCAGATCTGTGGACAATGTTTCACTGTTTATGTGAGGGAATAAAAAAGCAGGGAAACCCAACACTACTCAGTGAGATCTACACTGAGCTCTACATCACAGAAGGGGGAGGTGGAGAGATCAATGATGAGCATGAGGTCCGTTGGATTGAAAAAGCATCCAGGAAAGCTGCAACAGAAGATACCCCAATCAACCTGAATGACATTTTCACACCGTTACTTGGCCAAAAGCAACCCATCAGAACTGTGCTGACTAAAGGAGTTGCTGGCATTGGAAAAACGGTCTCTGTGCAGAAGTTCATTCTGGACTGGGCTGAAGGGGAAAGCGAATCAGGACGTCCACCTCATATTTCCACTTCCTTTCAGAGAGCTCAATTTATTGAAGAACCAAACATTCAATCTTCAAGATCTTCTGCAACTTTTCATGGGCACAAAACAACTTGAAATCTCTCCAAATGAAGGTAAAATCATTTTCATCTTTGATGGTTTGGATGAGTGTCGTCTGTCTCTGGATTTTCACAACAACGTGAGGCTGTGTGATGTGACTGAATCAGCCTCAGTAGACGTGCTGCTGACAAACCTGATTGCGGGGAATCTGCTTCCCTCTGCTCTCATCTGGATCACCTCCAGACCAGCAGCAGCTGATCTCATTCCCTCCGAGTGTGTCCATCGAGTGACAGAGGTACGAGGCTTCAATGACCCTCAGAAGGAGGAATACTTCAGGAAGAGATTCAAAGATCAGAGTCTGACTGACAGAATCATCTCACACCTGAAGTCATCAAGGAGCCTCTACATCATGTGCCACATCCCAGTGTTCTGCTGGATCTCAGCCACAGTTCTAGAGAAGATGTTGAGTCAAGCAGAGAGTGGAGAGATTCCCAAGACTCTGACTCAAATGTACACACACTTCCTGATTCTTCAGATGAGAAATATGCATGAGAAGGCCTTTAAAATGAAAGTGAAAGATGAAGACATGATCCTCAAACTGGGGAAAGTGGCTTTTCAGCAGCTTGTGAAAGGCAACCTGATCTTCTATGAGGAAGACCTGAGAGAGTGTGGCATTGATGTGACAGAAGCATCAGTGTACTCAGGATTGTGCACTCAGATCTTCAGAGAGGAGTTTGGTCTGTGTCAGAGGAAAGTCTTCTGCTTCGTTCATCTGAGCATTCAGGAACATCTAGCAGCTCTATATGCACACCTCTCCTTTATAATCAAGACCATCAATGTGTTTGACCAAACCAAACAAAGTCTGTTGCCTAAGGTCCATCGAGTGACAGAGGTACGAGGCTTCAATGACCCTCAGAAGGAGGAATACTTCAGGAAGAGATTCAAAGATCAGAGTCTGACTGACAGAATCATCTCACACCTGAAGTCATCAAGGAGCCTCTACATCATGTGCCACATCCCAGTGTTCTGCTGGATCTCAGCCACAGTTCTAGAGAAGATGTTGAGTCAAGCAGAGAGTGGAGAGATTCCCAAGACTCTGACTCAAATGTACACACACTTCCTGATTCTTCAGATGAGAAATATGCATGAGAAGGCCTTTAAAATGAAAGTGAAAGATGAAGACATGATCCTCAAACTGGGGAAACTGGCTTTTAGGCACCTTATGAAAGGCAATGTGATCTTCTATGAAGAAGATCTGAGAGAATGTGGCATTGATGTGACAGAAGCATCAGTGTACTCGGGGTTGTGCACTCAGATCTTCAGAGAGGAGTTTGGTCTGTGTCAGAGGAAAGTCTTCTGCTTCGTTCATCTGAGCATTCAGGAACATCTAGCAGCTGTGTATGTGATGTTTTCATTCAATTTGAAAAACCTAGATGTTCTCAGTGAATACCAGTCCTTAGAACATGACGTTCAGTACCCAGCATGTTTCACAGTCTATGAGAGGGCTGTGGAAGCAGCTTTGCAAAGTCAGAATGGTCATCTAGACCTCTTCCTTCGCTTCCTTCTGGGTCTCTCGTTAGAGTCCAATCAAACTCTTTTTCAGTGCCTACTGACACAAACAGGAGCAACGTCTCACAATACGGAGCAAATTATCCAGTTTGTCAAGAGGAAGGTTACAGAAGATCTTTCTCCAGAGAAATCCATCAATCTGTTTCACTGTCTGAATGAACTAGGTGATCATACTCTGCAATATGAAATACAAGACTATCTGAATGCTGGAACAATCAAAGATGCCATTCTGTAGTTTAAGTCAATGAACTTTTCCACGACATTCAAATTTATTGAGATGCACCTGTATTAGCATTTTTACATACTGTATCATGCGCTGTATTAATGGAACTGGAATGTGAGCAAACAAAACTGTCTGGCGCAGGTTATGGCGCTGTGGTCTCACACACGAAAGCTGTGACGTTCTGGCTTCGGCCCTGAATTCAAACCCTTCACATTTGAGAGCGCTGGATCTGTCTGAAAATAACCTAGGAGATCAAGGCGTGAAGCTTTTCTCTGATGGACTAAAAAATCCTCAGTGTAAATTGGAGACACTGAAGTAAGTTCTTCAAAAGCTACAAATACAAAAGTAAATTAAAAATGGTTTGATGTGTTAGTATTTAAAAAAAATAAGAATTAGTTAAAAAAGCTATGTAGATGTTTAAATCTATCCTACTGATGTTTGTACTCTCCTAAGATATTAGGGTGCTGTAACGTTGTACTCTGAGAGCTTCTTAATGAACTGAGCAAATGTAAAGAATTTACAGTGTGTCCCATATAGTTCTTTCTGCAGGCTGAGATTTTGTAACTTGTCAGATAAAGGTTGTGCAGCTCTGGCTTCAGCTCTGAGATCAAACCCCTCACACCTGAGAGAGCTGGATCTGTCGGAGAATGAATTGGGAGATGACGGAGTTAACTTTCTCTCTGATGGACTCAGAAATCCTCTTTGTAAACTGGAGATATTATGGTAAGATTTTTGCTTAAGATTCATTTAAAGCTTGCAAATTTAAGTACCTGGCAAAAAAAAATCTATGGAAAAAGTTTATAATAAAGTGTATATATAGTGTGTTATGAAATGAGAGGGTAAATGCTGTGTCATTGTTCTGTCTGCAGGCTTAGAGATTGTGATATAACAGATGAAGGTTGTGCTGCTCTGGCTTCAGCTCTGAGATCAAACCACTCAAACCTGAGAGAGCTGGATCTGACTAAAAATAAAATCACAGACATGGGAGCAAAACTGCTCTCTGCTATAAAATTCGATGCACACTATAAACTGGAGAAAGACTCAATCTTTATTAACCAAGTGACAAATGTTCCACTAGGAAAATACGATTGTCAACATAAACAATTTTTGAAGAATTACACTTTTATCTGTAATAATAGATGTTTTAATTTAATGTTTTCTTTTTTAAAAGTTGCATTTGAATAGAGTTTAACTAAGAACTGGGCTGCTCGGTGGATTTGTTGCTGCAGTAAAGCTGTACCAGGGACTGATACACAATGTTTTAGTACATAATTCATTCATTGTCACAATTGAACTTTTTCTAATGTACGTGATCTGTTGTTTTTGGTGTTTTAAAGTCTGTCCAACACATTAGGTGATGGAACTATTTTCTGAATGTGTTTGAGAATATTTACCAGCAGATGGCCATGTCATGAAATGGAGAGCATTTCTCTCTGCACTTCTCTCTGTTAAATGATCTTTACCGTTTAATGTTATTTTATGTCTTTATACCCAAATATAGTTGTTTATAATGAAAATGCATATAGTTAAACCTTGTAAAGATTTTGTTTAGTTTATATTGTAATTATAGAATATATTCTACATTTTGCAGAGTGATAAGGCTGCCATGTGCAATTTTTTCCCAACTTGTAATTAATCTTAAAAAGTTGCTTTCAGTGTGTATTTCTTTCTTTATTTAAAATATTTATGTTTAAAATGTGTTTTAAGGAAACCCCGTGTGTTTTGCTGTCCATTCAAACTGTGTGAATTTACCTGAAAATCCATTTCCCATCATTTTAAACTAATTTTTAAAACAAGGTGTTTTTGAAATGTAGCAATTGTTTGTACTTGTGAACGCCCATTGACTTGTTTGGATAAGAAGTATACAAATCAGAAAGAAAGAAATTGTGTAGACGTAGGCTACATAGCCTATTACTTAATATAATATCGCCTTGACAAATGTTTACTGAATGACTGTAGGCTAATTCACAGGTGAGCACAGGTTCTTTACAACACGATTGAACAGGACGTCGCGCTAATTACCGAGTAATTTGTTTCAGGCCAATTTTAGCCGAGTAGCTGTATAAAAAGTAGTTTAATAAGAAGCCTTGCGTTGCCCAACAATTAAAAGCTGATGGTTTGTCAAGGATCCTCGCGATCTTTAGAAATGAGGGTGAGTGATGTTGTGAGAGTTGTAAATGAAGATAGGCCTACATAAACGTTAGATTGACTGGATTGGTGAAAATATCTGTTTTTATTAGCTTGAATGACTGTAGGCTAATTCACAGGTGAGCACAGGTTCTTTACAACACGATTGAACAGGACGTCGCGCTAATTACCGAGTAATTTGTTTCAGGCCAATTTTAGCCGAGTAGCTGTATAAAAAGTAGTTTAATAAGAAGCCTTGCGTTGCCCAACAATTAAAAGCTGATGGTTTGTCAAGGATCCTCGCGATCTTTAGAAATGAGGGTGAGTGATGTTGTGAGAGTTGTAAATGAAGATAGGCCTACATAAACGTTAGATTGACGAAAATATCTGTTTTTATTAGCTTGATATCAAACAGACATTTGTCACTTTTTTTTTTTTATCAAGGTGTTTCGAATTAAATTTTCATCTTTTGTTTCCTTAACCTCCAAAAGCAATTGGTTCAGCCAGACATTAACACTAAGTAGGTGTGAATTGAATGTTGTTTATTTACTGAAATGAGACATTCATTGAGTTATTATTTGTTATTTTTAATTTATTATTATTATTATTATTATTGATTTTATAAAACAGATAACGCGCCCCCCTTGACAGGTGCTGGCGCCCCACAGGTTGAAAACCCCTGCTTTAAAACAAAAAGGAATCGGAATGTTTACAGTACGTGACTTCTGCCCAGTATTTTGCATTACTTACATTTGTCGCTATTTTATGTTGTTTCATAGGCTGGTATAGGCCTAGTCTGTTGGATGAATTAGGTTTCTGGCCATATTTTGACCATGTGGTTTACTTGCTACTATTACTTTTATTTGGTTCATTTGCAGAATGATTGTAGCTGGAATGGGTTCTGAAAATGTGACGAATACTGAGGCCCGCTAATGAATGAATGAATGAATGCTTGGCTTATTGTATGGGTGGCAAGTAAACACTCAATTAATAAATTGCTAAAATTTAATAAATAAATAAATCTGCTAAATGACTAAAAGTAAAGTAAAATTAATACTTTGTATTAATACTTTTAATTAATACATTGTAATAGCCAAATTTGTTAATTACTTCATGTAATATTTAGTCTTTAGTCTGGAAGCTAAATGTAATCACCAGAAGGGGAGATCAGATTTAACAAGACCTGGGCATTAGGAGTCATCATTAAATGGATCAACTCAAGGTTAAAAAGCCCAGGTAAATGATCATGATCGAACTCCCTTTAAACTAGTTTTAAAAACTTTGTTAGTCTTCAGTATTACGTAACAAAAATAAAGCCAAAATGTTTTATCTCTCAACTGCACATTTATTTATTTATTTTTTTAATGTCACAATTACACCTAGTTCATTGTGCAGCACTTGGTTCTGAATGACAGGAAGATCCACTGAATTGTTGTAATGTCTCTGCTTCACTGCAGCTCAGAGCAGCAAGGGGGAGATCAGCATCTCCATGTCCCAGCCATGAGTCCGTGAGGAGTGATCAGTCAATGGGTCATCCAGAGGATTTAAAAGAATCCAGGTACATTAATAATTATTAGGTTTTCCTCACTGTTGTAATGTCATTCTCAAAATAAAAGAAGAACGTCTTAGTAGGTACTCTGTAACTCACTTTTTATTGAACCAAGTCCTACCTCCATCTCATGTTCACATTTCTTTCTCTCTGCCCCTCCCCCCACCTCTCATACATTCTCACGAGAACTCCTACAACTATACTACACTCACTATCACTTTTCAGTTTTATGCAATGTCATTTAAAACAATACATTTAAAAAAAAAAGAGATAGTTAACTATTTTAACAATTGTGAATCTATGTCTCACGCTTGTGACTGTTTCACAGTTGTTACAATTAATTACACTAAATTCACATTGTAATGTTTCTGTTTCACTGCAGCTCAGAGCAGCAGGGAAGATCCTCTTCATGTCCCAACCATTCTAATTTGTTGAGATAGTGAATTGGTGGGTTTTTGTTAAATGTGAGCCAAAATCATCACAATTAAAAGAACCAAAGACTTAAACTACTTCAGTCTGTGTGCATTGAATTTATTTAATACACGAGTTTCACAATTTGAGTTGAATTACTGAAATAAATGAATTTCATTCTAATTTATTGAGATGCACCTGTATAAGGAGTGATCAGTGTTTGAGTTGTCCACTGGATTGAAAAGAATCTAGGTAAAACATTAACATTATTAAATCCTTGTTTATATTACTTTTGAGTCTTTAGTTATATCATGAGAGGGAAAAAAGGCTTCTGTATCTTGCTGGTCATTGTATTTAGTCCTTTTTAATCTGTTTATTTGTCTTTAATTTACATTTTACGATTATTAAAAGTATCAGTTTACGAGTCTTAAAATCTCCTTATTAAATAATATATATTTAAATGATTAAACGACCTGCTATGTGAGTAATGGTTTAAAATGTATAACAAGATTTATTTGAATTTTCCAGTGCTGCCTCACCCCTTGATCAAATCTGAGAAGCAGTCCAATCAAATCTGAGGAGATTTCAGTGTTTGTGTGAAGGGATATCAAGACATAGTGACCTCATACCTCTCAACGAGATCTACACTGAGATACTGCGGAGGATCATTACTTCTGAAGTAGGATCATTACTTTTGCTCTATATCTTCTCTGATAGGGTGACTGAAACAATCCTTTTTATCACAATTTGTCGTTGCAGTTTGGAATATTGTGGTCTCACAGATGATGGTTGTGCTGTTCTGGTATCAGCTTTGAGATCGAACCCCTCACACCTGAGAGAACTGGATCTGTACATGAACAATCTAGGAGATTCGGGAGTACAGCAGTTCTCTGCTATGAAGAATGACCCCAAATATCAACTCCAAAAACTAAAGTATGGAAAACCTCATTATTAGAGACCAGTATTTTAAAGAAATACACTTTTCTTATTCTTCTGCACTGAAGTTATCATTATATATCTGAAAATGTAAAGAGTTTGATTATGAGACCTTTCACTCCAGCTTATTGAAGACTTTGTACTTTCAGAAAACCTCATTATTAGAGACCAGTATTTTAAAGAAATACACTTTTCTTATTCTTCTGCACTGAAGTTATCATTATATATCTGAAAATGTAAAGTTTGATTATGAGACCTTTCACTCCAGCTTATTGAAGACTTTGTACTTTCGACTGAGTTTTATTTAGTATTGAGTTAGCTTATTTAGTAGTAGTTCTCCAGTGACTCTTGTTGACCCTAACCTCTATCAGTTTTCAACATCTTCATGCCACAAGGACATAAGCAACAAACTGGACAATATATCCATGAGTTGTATTTAAGTCCTCCTACTGTAGCTAGCTAGACGCAATTGCACTTAGATTTTATTTTATTAACTAATTTGATTGTTCACGTTTTTTTTAACCTATTTTGTAAGGTTCTCTCAAAACATGTCTTTTGTGTCTGTTAATTTCTCTATGTAAAAGCTAAACTGATATGTGCGGAATGTGGTTGTATTAAAATTCATGTAGCCTATACAAAGTTGTAGGTCAACACAATTTCTAGCAATATTGTTGGCTTGATTGCACAGACACTGAGCTGGACGATGAC